GGAATGCCCAGGCCCCATTCCAGCTGTTTCAGTGCGCTGGGCCTGTACTTGGAGACAGCCTGTTGAAAGCCGTCCCCGACGCCGCTTCCGGACCCTTGCCAGATCTGATCGCTGTCATGCGTTCCCTAGCTGTCATCCCAGTCGCTACATGCGTCCTGCGCACCGAGCTACTCTAGTTACGCCAGGAACGCGACGAGACATTCCGCGCATTCGCTGCCAGAGTGCGGGGTAAAGCAGAGACATGCGCATATAATGCAGTATGCGAGTGTGGTAAAGACGTGGACTATACCGACCACATTATCCGTGATGTTCTGCTCAATGGCATCTATGACTCGGACATACGCCGCGAGACGCTGGGGACATCTGATGTCCTGGTCAAGCCAGTTAACGATGTAATTGCACTCGTCGAGAACAAAGAGATGGCCCGTAACGCTCTCCCGTCGTCCTCCCTATCAGCCATGTCGTCATTCCGGCGCCTGCAGACGACTCCACAGACGAGCCCCGCCCCGAGCCCTGCGGCCGGGGCTAAACGTGCCTCGTGCCCGGAATGTAAGAGCGTCTTCAACGTCTTCACGGAGGGGCCTCGCGGGTGGAATCCGAAGCCTCACCTGGTGTGCATCGGCTGCTACAGGGCCCGCCGACGACAGAGGTGTCCACAGCCGTCATCCGACAGTCAACATGCCGCCATGGGGTCGGAGCTGGTCTCCCAGGTCTCGTCGGTGCGAGCTGGAGCCCGCCCTGGCCGACGTTACGGGAGCCATCGCCGACGCCGCGCCCCTACGTCGCACGGCTGTCTCAACAGGCCTGCACCTATCAGACTCGAGCACCACATCTTCTCCAAAGGCGAATGGAGACGAGCCAGGATGAGAGACCACCCCCGAGCATTGATCACCATCTCGATGGACTCGCCAGTCGGGGCTGAGGGATGGCACCAGCAACCGGGGCTCGGCCGACGGAGCTCGGATATCCGCCGTCGCGGACACTGGCGCGCAGTCGGACCTTTGGTCTCTGGAGGAGTTCCTGGCCTGCGGTTTCGCGAGGGACGACTTGCGACCCGTCAGCCTCAGCCTGTCGGCCGCCAACCACTCCCCTATAGCCATCGAGGGAGCGTTCTTTGCCAGGCTCTCGACGACCTGCAGCGGGGGGGCGTGTTACATCCTGCCGTTCCATGGTATACGTGAGCAGCTCAGTCCGGGCCATGTACCTATCCTACGAGTCGTTGCTCAACCTCGGTCTCTTGCCCGTGGGCTTCCCGTCGGACGACATTGCAGGGGGGCCCCAGGACGGGTGTGGCCCTGACACGGCTGACACGCCAGACCAGCCCTTATCCGTCAATGCGACGAGGTCAACCAACGGCGGCTGCGTGGGGCCAGGTGACCCCCAGGACGCCCAGTGCTCATGTCCCCAGTGCTCATGTCCTCAGCGCACGGTCCCCCCGGCGCGCCCCGCAGCTCTGCCGTTCCCTTGTACGCCAGAGAACAACAGCCGGATGAAAGGTTGGCTGCTCGGGAGATATGCCTCGTCGACATTCAATACTTGCCCCCATCGGGCACTACCATGCATGGAGGGGCCACCTATCGAGATGCACGTGGACCCCGCAGCTACGCCTAAGGCATGCCACACCGCGGCTACAGTGCCTCTACACTGGCAGCGGAGGGTCCACGATGACCTCCTGCGGGACGAAGCCCTCGGGGTCATTGAACGCGTACCATACGGCGAGCCAGTGGCGTGGTGCCATCGCATGGTAGTCACTCGGAAGCACGACGGTTCCCCCCGCAGGACCGTGGACCTCTCCCCCCTCAACAAGTTCTGCCAACGTGAGACCTTCGCCACTGAGTCCCCGTTCCACCTTGCACGCCGCGTCCCGAAGGGCACCTGGAAGACCGCCACGGATGCCTGGAACGGCTACCACAGCGTCCCCCTGCGTGAGTCGGATCGCCACCTCACTACCTTCATCACGCCCTTCGGCCGTTGGCGCTACACCAGGGCACCACAGGGTTTCCTGTCATCAGGGGATGGCTACAACCGTCGGTTTGACGCCGTCCTCTCGGACTATGAACGCAAGGAACGTTGTGTGGATGACACCATCCACTATGACACCGACCTGGAGCAACACTGGTGGAGGACCATCGACTTCCTGACGCGTGTCGGCCGGTCGGGCATCGTGTTGAACCCGGACAAGCTTCAGTTCGCCGAGAGGTGCGTCGACTTCGCCGGCTTCAGGGTGTCGGAATCTACCATCGAACCGCTCCCGAAATACTTGGACACCATCCGGGACTTCCCCACCCCAGGCTCCACGACGGACATCAGGAGTTGGTTTGGCCTCGTCAACCAGGTGGCTAACTACGCCCAGCTGCGTGACACGATGGCCCCATTTAAGCCATTCCTCAGCCCGCGCTGTGTGTTCCTATGGTCCCCCGTTCTGGAGGAGGCCTTCCAGACGTCCAAGCAAGCCATAATGGAGGCCATCCGCGAGGGCGTGGAGATCTACGACATGCAGAAGCGTACCTGCCTCCGCCCTGACTGGTCCATGCGTGGCATTGGCTACTTCCTGCTCCAGCAACATTGTCACTGTGCCCCGGGCATACCGGACTGCTGTCCAGGAGGATGGAGGATCACCCTCGCGGGTTCGCGTTTCCTGTCCCCTGCGGAGCAGCGCTATGCGGCCGTCGAGGGAGAGGCCCTAGCTGTGGCCTGGGGTCTGGAACAGACGCGGTACTTCACGCAGGGGTCCGACAACCTCGTCGTGGTCACCGACCATAAGCCATTGGTGAAGATCTTTGGTGACCGTACACTGGATGAGATAACAAACTCGCGTCTGTTTAGACTCAAGCAGCGCACCCTCCCATGGCGCTTCGACATTGTGCATCTGCCTGGCAAGAGCAACTATGCCGCTGATGCCACGTCAAGGCATCCTTCCCTCTCGGGCTCAGCGAACGGCCTCTCACTGGGGCTGCCGAGCGGGCCTGACGCCGTGGAGTCAGCACTCATGGCCTCCATCCGCGACGACGCACGGGAGCTCGGAGCCGTCTCTTGGCCCCTCCTCGCACGGGAGACAGCGGCTGGCGGATGCCTCGGCCACCTCCTCCAACTCATCGAGCAGGAGGGTGGGATTGACGTTAACGACCCTGCCCTGGCGAGTCTGTCATCGGTCTGTGAGTCCGTCTACGCACAGGACGGCGTCCTGCTCTATCGGGACCGCGTTGTGTTCCCCCCATCCCTCCGTGGGAGAGTCCTTCGGCATCTCCATGCCGCTCACCAGGGGACCTCAGCGATGGGGCAGCATGCCCGAGCCATAGTTTACTGGCCCGGGATGTCCGGGGACATTCAGGCCACCAGGGACGGGTGTGCAGACTGCAACCGCAATGCTCCGTCACAGGCGGCTACACCCCCCCTGCCGTCACCACCCCCGTCCACGCCATTCGAGGCGGTGTTTGCTGACTTCTTCGACTATGGGGGCCGCCACTACCTAGTTGTCGGGGATCGGCTTTCGGGCTGGGTAGAGGTCCTGAGTTCTACGGCGGGTACTGCCCTGGCGGGCTCAGCTGGCCTGGTCCAACACCTCCGCTCGTTCTTCGCTACCTTCGGCGTACCGGAGGAGCTCTCGAGCGACGGTGGTCCGGAATTCAAGGGGAGCCACACTGAGGACTTCCTCCGCTTATGGCACGTCAAACACCGTGTGTCCTCCGTTAGCTTTCCGCAGTCGAATGGGAGGGCGGAAGTTGCGGTTAAGACTGCTAAGCGCCTCCTGATGTCCAACACCGGCCCGTCGGGCAGCCTTGATCAGGACCGCTTCCTGCGTGCTATGCTGCAGTTGCGGAACACGCCTGACCCCGACTGCAACCTCTCGCCGGCGCAGATCATCTTCGGCCGCCCCCTTCGTGGCTCGCTCTCCTTCGTGAACCGCCTCGAGAAGTTCTCGAACCCGCATATCCGCCCGCTATGGCGCGAGGCATGGGCGGCGAAGGAGGACGCCCTTCGGACCCGTATGTCCCGTACCACCGAGTCTCTGGGGACTCACTCAAGACCGCCCCGCCCATTGGCGCTCGGCGAAAGGGTATTCCTCCAGAACCAGCAAGGCCCGAGCCCCCGCAAATGGGACAGGTCAGGGATCGTGGTGGAGTCGCTGGACCATGACCAGTATCGGATCAGGGTTGACGGTTCGGGACGTCTGACACTGCGCAACCGGCGGTTCCTCCGTGCCTACACGCCGGCCACACCCTGCGCCCATGAGCAGTCGGCCACGCCGTCCCCGCCGCCCGCTGCCCTGGGACATCAGCCCCCACCTATCCGCCCGGGCTGGGCGACGCCCCAGGGGCCTGCTCAGCAGCCAGCTGATAGTCCCCGCGACTCGGCTATGGGCGCTTCCCCACCGGCGCTTGCTGATTAGGCATCCTCTGACCTCGCCGTTCCTACGGGTGCCTTCCTGGGCGCACCACTCCCGGTGCCGCAGTCGCCGCCGGCGCTGCCCCAGCCCACTCGGCCGGGCCGCGTGAGGAAGCCGCCGGCACGCTACGAGCCCGAGTCCGGCAGCTGGATACGGGATTTAGACCGTTAATCTATTCCAGCCTATAGCTTTCCGGTCTGGGGGGGATGAAGAGTTTATCGCCGGCCACTAGAGGGCAGCGTCTCACTGCTGTCGCACCGGATATGCTGCGCTCTGACCCGGTAGTACTGAGCGGCCATTTTAGTTCAAACATTGTTCATTCACTCCGCCTCGTGTCGAGACGTTCATCCACTCACACATGTAAGACTGTTCCCACTATTGTTGGTGTATATATACGTGGTGTCGTAGCATATATTTGTGTTGTGTTAATGATGACATGCATGTATGTAATACTTTGTCAGCTTACCTCGCTGTATTACTCTGTTTCAGGGTGTCGTCATCTTTGTCATTAAAACACTGAAACTGACATTGAGGAGTGTGTTTCTTCAAAAACGACAAACAATCATTTGGCCTGAATCTCTCTCAAACATGACGCCTCTTTTTAATCGAGCATCATCGTTTATATCGGGAGGAGTCGGAGGAGTCGGAGGAAGAGGGAGGGTTTTTGTCCAAGCTCAGCACCTGAAATTAAAACAGAATCAGAATCAGTGTAGAATCTGTGTTATATAATCATGTGCAATGCCTTGTGCCAAACATTTCACAAATTGGGATCAATAAAGTACTTCTTCTCTTATCTTACCCTCAGAGCCATCTTCATCTTCAGCGTGCAGCTCGGGCCGGAGTTCTTGAGGGGGAAACGTTCATTTAAGGTCATTTCCTCGGCCTCCAGAAGGCGAGTCAGCGGCACCGTCAAAACGCCCAACTTACACTCGTGTTTCTCGTCTTTAAACTGAAAACACATGGAGGGGAAGTCATTGTTTTTGTCTTGAGTGTGTCTCGCCCAGGGGCGGATCTACTAACTTTTGTTTCCCTAAAACTGTACTAAAACAAACCTACACTCTGTCCACAAGCTTCTCAAGCAACGAAACAAGCAGTTCATTAATTAAAAGTGAATCATTTTAAATATCATCTTACTTAGGCCCGTTAAAAACACAGCTACGGCCCTGCATTAAACTGCGGAGCGGCGCTCACACAGACCGCGGCTCACAGAGCTGCAGAGAGGGAGCGAGCTGTCCCAGCACCTAGGGTGGATCAGCTTCCCCTGGGAGCATTTCCCCTTCCACTAGTTTTGTTTTTACTAAGGACGAGAGCTTGAAACTAAATATTAATAAACGCATCGATAGCGTTTAACAGACGGTCGCTGTTTGGGGCGTTACGTTACAAAATACTACACAGACAGCGCTAGCTGGGAGATCGATCACTTTGCTAAACTATGCGGTACGGTAAAATCCACGTAAACTACACATCACAGCAATGAGGCCAGATCAATGAAACCAGGATACATCCTTTACCGTCAAACTGGGTCTAAACACAGCTGCCTGTGTGCGTTTGATAAATACTTTCTGATGTTATATTTATGATATGCTACTTATTAGCTACATGGCCCTAACGTGTAAAGTTATACAAGCATTTGTACCGGTGCTTTTCACAAGTAGACTCTTGCAGGCCAGAGTAGCTGGAGTGATTCAACAACAACAACACAAAGACAGACAACAATAAAGGTTTGAAATGAACATATCTGAGAAGTGATCAGGATGAACAGAAAGAGGAAAAGGAAAAGAGAGTTCACTGTAGAGACCAGGAGGGTCAGAGCAGGAGGAAGAGGAGGAGATGAAGACATTAGTGAAGAAGAAGACATGTATGTTCTTATTCTCCTTACATATTCCATCACAGCAGCACAATCTAGCAGCTCTTAGTATTGACACATATTGAAATGTGTTGCTGCACAGGTCACCTTTAGCTCTCTAAGAGATGGGTGATGTCATTTGTGTACTTAATTATAACTAAGTACTTTTACTGTACTTACAGTAAGCAGAATTCTGAGTATTCTCTGAATCGGGTGCCTTTTGTGTCTTTACATCTTTGAAAAATGAAACTAAAATGTTTGGTCATAACATCTGGTAGTGGACTAGTTACATTTTCCCACCTCAGGCACAACATATAAATAATTACTAGGAATTTCCTTGAAAAAATGTAACAGGGTTGAAGTTTTTGACAAACAGTAGCCATGAGACCTTGTTTAGCTAAGATATGGCACCACATGGAAGTCAAGGACATTACACAATTGTAATATTTTGCAAAACTATTGTTTATTTTGTAATAAACAATTATTTACTATTATTAATTCATATAACAGAGTTGAAATGTTGAGCTTGTCAATCTTAATCTGAAAATACAAAAACTGAAATATAGGTAAGAGAAGAAACTGACACTTGCCTTTCTTTGCCATCTTTTCTTCAGAAGACTTTTGTGATGTAATTCCCTCAATGCAGATCACACATGGACTGATCCATTATTTTAACTTAATAGGAGGGTAAATGGTATGGCGTGACAGGGTTGAAACAAACTGAGGGACGTGTGTCAATATTGCAATTTCATAGATAATTCAAGTATTTTTTCACAATTTCTTTTTGATCAGTTAAAGTTGACAAGCATATGATTATATTAGCAGCAACATTTTGGGATAATTGGCCATTTTGATTTGTTTAATATTAAATTAATATGTAATAATGCTTAGTGAGGAAATATGTCTGTCTTCTACTAAGACAACCAATTTAAAAAAAAAAAAAAAAAGATATATATATTTTGTTTTACATTGTAATGCAAAACAACCTGTTCCATTAATTCATTGCTTTAAAATACATTTTGTAGTTTCCTTTCATTTAAAATTGTTGAAGTAAGCTTGGGGGACTCAAAGGGCACCCGATTGTTTGTCTGAACACCTGGTTTCTCTTGTGAATTAAGAACACTTGTGTTAGGGCATGAATGAACAATAAATAGGTTATATACAGTATAAAATACCACGTACTGTCCGCCCTCCCATGCCACCTTGGCATGACCTCTTGCCCCCCCTTTGCCACCCCATGTAAAATGTTCTAGAACCGCCACTGGTCTCGCCTTTACTGCGAATAATGTTTAGACTAGAGCAGCAAAGAAAATATTAAAAAAGACTCACAGAGAGAGACTTTTTGAGACAGTTTGCAGAATCAAACCATTAAATTATAGCAATGTTGATTAAATCTTTATGAATAAGTACAACAGTTTCCTGCTCTCTCTCGCTCTATATAAAGTGGGGTTTTAGATAATTTAATCTTTAATTTGGACAGAGTTCGACATCTTGTTTCTTCACTGAATCGTCAAAATTAAGATCCCGAGTCTCTCCACAGACTGTCTCGCCTCTACTGCTTATATATTTTAGACTAGAGCATCAAAGAAAATATTTTAAAACGACAGATTAGCCTCCGTACCTCGACCTCCAGCTCCTGGCTGCGGGGGTTATGGATCAGGAAGGTGAACGCCTCGTCCCACACCGGCTCATTGGTCTTATATCGGGTCTGAAGGAGGAAACAACAGAGAGGAGGTAGAGGGACATTTGGGTAAACTGGTCACAAAAATGTATAATATTTTTCTAGTTCTCTACCTGTGTTTTTAATTCTTGTTTGTATGCACCATGACACCAAGTCAAATTCCTCGTACGTGTAAACCTACCTGGTAATAAACCTGTTTCTGATTCTGATTCTGATTCTGATTAACTACTACAACTGATGGTGAGCTGACATATTGTACGTTTATCTAAACTAAAACTATTATTTAGAAACCAGATCATTAATTTCTCTAAGGTACAATGCCATGTCTTTTTATTCTGCTGCAACGCAAACATTTCCCAAAATTAGGATCAGTAAAGTCCTTCTTATCTTATCGTATCTTTATCTCTGAATATTCTGTTGTGCAAATAGTCTTCAAGTGAAAGTCTTTTGACAATAAAAGCACCATCCAATTACAATCATTGCACCAGTTTTTACATATCTATGAATATGTTGACATACATACAGTGTAGGTAAGTGGATTGTGTTTATATTTAAAGGTCACCTATTATGCTAAAATGTCCCTGCATGATGAAAAGTGTGTGAAATGAAAGCAATGAGCTGTTTCACAGGTGACTGCCTCCCTCTAGTGGTACAGAACAATAAAGGGATGTTCTTACTCCAGGAAAACATCAGCTGATCATAAATCATGTCCACACAGGTTACAAAAATACACATTTAAATACATTTCGAACAATATTTCACATTTATTCAATGCTCAATGCTCACTAAGGCTAATGGTGTTGCTTCTGTGTTAACCACCATGCACTCTGACATTACTGTGCATACTTTTCTACATTATATGCAAACCACCACCTGTTCATGTTTTTATGAACCACACTCTGTGATTATGGAGCTGTTTATATTGAATATGCAGCTTTTGTTATGATTGCATCATATGCAGTCTCTGTACTTTTTTTTATTGCAAATTCGGTAAGGCGATTTCTCCAGAAAAACTCTCATTTTATATTCCTCTAATTCAGCAATTTGTGGGATAAATTACGGGGGGGGGGGGGTATGTAAGTTGTAGTGCTTTATAAGAAGAGGTAAACCGTGCATAAAAAGGTGAAGTTTGTTGCAAAAGTAAAACCTATCACTGATATAAAATAATCTCTTCATACTTAGGGTCAATTTGGTACAAACTCATGCTTAGCAGCCACACATTAGTCATATTTACAAGATACTAAGGTGAAATGTGAACAATTTAAGATGTAATTTGGATTTTAAAAGGGTAAAAGCACTGGGAATGTATTTTAAATAAACCTGAATTACCCTGGTAACATCAGCAGGAGAGGACTCTTTAAAGTAGAGACACTGTTTTGGCAGAGCCAGAGAAATCAAAATCTGGCTCCAGTCCAGCAGGTGGAGACAGGGAGCCTAGGGTCTGTGCTTCCACTGAGGAGGTGGCTCAAAGGAAGAGTGTGCCACTCCTTGTTAAGGAGCTTAATGCAACACACCTGTGAAGGCACACTCTCAGCAGAGAAGCAAACAATTCACTGTGGGAGAGGAGAAAGACTCAAGGATTCAACCAAAGACGCTGCTGGTGATATATTTTGTGAATGTATTTTTCTGTTGGAACCATGTTTTATTAAGATGAATTATTATTTCTAGTTTATGAAGTTAAGCTAAAACATAAGATGCTGGATTATAATTTACTTTGTTGAGATGCAATTATTTTTGTTTAAGTGTTAAGTTTAATTATAACTTGAGATGAAGTGAAGTTTTGTGTTTAAGGTTTTCAACCTGAATGAAGCATCAGAAGGCTATCAAGAGGCTAAATGAAGCAGAAATAATTCTGCAATAACTTGAAATAAAGAGGAGAATGATGCAAATCTGAGTTGTCCCATGTGTCCTTTTGGAGGGAATCGGGCCGTTTTCAAGTTTTGGGCAGGAGTCAATCATTAAGACCAGATCATAACTTGACAGTTGAAAACCATTGCCAAGCAATAAGGACTAAAGGATCAAGAACCTGGAAAATTCAGAAGGAACCAAACTGTCTGCAGTAACCACACACCTCAACAAAATGGCGGAGGAAGCCTATGGGAAAAGTGTCAAGCAGCTCAAGCAGGAGAGGACAATGGCTAAAGGTGCATTCACAAAAGTAGCTAACTTTCTTAGCAGAGGAGCACAAGGCATGACTGAAACTGAGCTTCGGGAGGAATTCAAAAAGCTCACTTTGATGGGAAGAAATGTCAGTGAAGCAAATGATGACTTTCGGAGTGGCCTACTCGCAGACATAGAAGCCAGCACTGCTGAAGATGTGGAAGAGGCGCTTAGCGAGCAACAAGAGGCTGACATGGGAAAAACTATCGATGAATGTGAAATAAGAATGAATGATGTGAAAAGAATTGTTCAAACAAACCTGTGGTCTCGTTATGGGCAAAAGGAGCTGGAAACCTCAATCCAGGAAGCAGAAACGTCTTGTGATAATGCTGCTGAGACGCCTGTATCTGCACTCAATCGTGATGGTTATGAGATCCAGTTGGTGTTCATGGAGAAGCTGGTCAAGGAAGCTAGTAAAAGCCTAGCATCTTGGGAACTGTGGATTCCAGAGACTGAAAAAGCTAATCTAGAAGGCAGGGTCAAAGGCTTAAAGTCAATGAATAACAAGCTTGAAGCAAGGAGAGCAGAGTTTGTGTTTGCACAAAGAAATTCAGAAGAAGAGAAGAGTGCAGATCTGCGGACTTTAACGGCTGCTTCATCAACCCCACATGCAGCAAACACCACGCCCTTGGTGAGAATTAAACCAATTAGTCTGCCCAAATTTCATGGCTGTAAAAGAGATTTCCACAGATGGAAAAGAGACTGGGAGAGCCTGCAAAGACAGGGAGAACCAACAGGCTCGAGTGAAGTCAAAAAGATTCAGCTTTTGGACAGCATGGATGAGAAAATCTCAAGAAACCTCAGACTTTCAACATACAACACAGCAGAAAACATCTTTAGAGTGCTTGAAAATAGATATGGGAATAAGTCTACAATTGCAATAGAAATAATTGAAGATCTTGAGAAAATTCCTGTTTTAAGAGCAGATCAACCAAGAAGAGTCATCGACTTAATCCAAACTGTGGAGAAAGCACTGGCAGACCTGACAGAGCTTGGAAGGACTGATGCCATCAAGAACCCACTGGTCACTAGGTCCATAGAGAGCAAGCTGCCGGAACCTGTAAAGAAGGATTGGCTCGTCTTCATGGTAAATCCCAGCAATAGAGTCACCCCTGAGAACCAGTTTGACAGTCTCCTCAAGTTTCTGAAGACACAAGAAGAGATCTTGGAAAAACTGGAGCAGCTTGGAGTAACTGAAAAGTCAGAGAAACCTGAAAGGAAGTTTGAATGAAAATATTCCTCAACACGTTCCACCAGGAGAGACGGAGGATGCATTGTCTGTGGAGAAGAAAGGCATGAAGAGAAACTATTCTTTTGCAAGCAGATCAAGAGCCTAAGGCGCCGTTTACACGAGGAGAAAACTGCTTGTATCTGCATAGTTTCGCATGCGTATAGCCCTATTATTTACACGAGGCCGATAGAAACTGACCCCACAAACAATAACGGGTCCCAAGGTGGATAGATTTGCAAACGAAACGCTCTGGGGGGTCAACCGAGTCCGTGTAATCACCTCTATACGAATATTTCCTGGAAAAATAGGATAGCCCCGCCTCTCCTGCTCACTGCTGTACTAGCAACTATCAAAGATAGCTGTGTTAATTAAACGCACAAGGGGTTCTTGAATGAAATAATATTATAAAAGGCAAACCAGAATTGTTAACGCCCAATATACTCCTTAAACAAAATAAACAGAGTCAGATTTCATGCATTGATCCATTATATTGACAAAGGTGCGATCTCACCCGGTGTTTGTAGAGAATATCTCTCTTTCTGAGCCGTCCTCTCGATGCAATATCCACAGAGACGTGCTTCTTGGTTTCTTTCAGTTAACTTCCCCGTTGCATTTATCCATATGCTGAGGAAATGACTATATCCCGCTGAATACCAGCAATCGCCACACACACTGACTTCCTCCTGTCAGTAGCTACTGCTAGTGCTACTGCTACTGACCATGCTACAGATATTAGTGCAAAAATATACAGCTCCTCTACCACAACCATCAGCAACAACAGATTCGGTGTCTTTCAGTTTCTTTCAGTTTCAGTTTCAGTTTCGGGGCTTAAACAGAAGGGTAGCCATGGCAACATTGCTGCGGGGCTGCTCCAGGCTGCTCTTCTTCGCGGCTTTTGGTGTATTTTGGCGGAAGTTACAGCGCCACTTACAGTCCCAGCATATGTACTACAGCGTTTCCAGCGGCCTCGTTTAAACAGACACGTTAAATGAAACAAATGCATGTGAACGGAAGACTTTTTTGAATACGCATACTGTGCATAAACGCAAACGGTCCCGTGTGAGCGGGGCCTAAATCTGGTCGAAAAGTTAGATGCTGTGAAGAGATTAGGAGCTTGTAAGAGGTGTTTGAGATGTCATGAAGAAGGACATGAATGTATAAACACCTACCTTTGCAGGAAAAGAGAATGCAAGAAGGGGAGCTCTTCAGACCACCACTTTTTCCTCTGTCCTAGAGGAGAGTACAGAGAACGTGAGCTGGACAAAGGTGGGAAAGACTTGAAGAAAAGACCCAAACTCACAGAAGAGCAAGTGAAATTTATTGCTGAACTCTCTCCCGAAATGGCAGAAAAATGCAAGAACGCCTTTACCAATATGACTGCAATAACAAACTGTAATGAAAAGGACCGGTCTGTGCTGATGGAAGGAAATAGACAGGACGAGATACCAGTTATCATGATGCTGCTGGAAGTTACTGCAAATTCAGGTCAGAAAGTTGGAACCCTGATAGATTTAGCATCAGACACCAACTACATAACCCACAGAGCCGCCAACAGGTTAAACCTGGAAAGTGAAAAAATCACATTG